TTCTCTTGTCTTTATGTTGTACGACTGGGCCAGTATAAATAATAATACTAACTCTCGCCCACTGAGTTAAGGAGGGCTCTCAGTCCACTCGAGTCTCCTCTCTTCTCTCCCTCTCTATTCTCCTCTCCTCTCCTCTCTTCTCTAGTTCTTGCTCAACACTACCCATTAACCAACCAAGCAAATGTTTTTACCCTTGGAGGAACTGGTTTTCCCCAAACACCTTTTATTGGTTCAGCCTCCACCTGATTCCTCATTAGCACATTATAATCGACTTGACTGTGAAACTTCCATCTTTACATTCTTTCCACCATTTGACATCTGAAGCCTAAGGGTCAACTACCACCACCTGCAGATTTGCCAACAGCCCCACAAATTACTCCACCTCCCAATCAAATAAAGGTCTCCTAAAGTTAGGGCACCAAACCACTGCACCATTGATGATCTCATAACATTGGGCAATAGACACTCCTTTTCTTGCTCAAGCTATACAATCTTGGGCAAAGGTCACAAACCCTTCCAACTCCAATCCAATCATCCTCCCAAAATCTTAAACTAGACCCATTCCCCACTCTCCAAGAAAAGAAAGGCTGCATCAATGAATTAAACTTAATGATCCCCTTCTACACACTTACCCCATAAGATGACCTCACTTCCCTCACATCCCACCCAAAGTTTACCACCCCATACTTACATGCTACCACCCTTCTCCATAGAGCTTCCCTCTCCCTCCTAAGCATCCATACCCACTTCCCCAATAATGCTTTATTGAAGACTCCCACCCTTCACTCCCGATCTCCCATCTTTTTTAGCTCTACACACCAAGTCCCACTTAACCAAATGGAATTTCTTTCTTTCCACCTTAATGTTCCATAGGAAATCCCTTTGTAACCTCTCAATCTCTTCCACCACTGATGTCGGACCTTTAACAATGATAGATAGTATATTGGAAAATTTGAGAGGACACTTTTTATTAGTGTTATTTCCCCCCAAATGACAGTAATTTCCCTTTCCGGTCCAACAATCTCTGTTCAATTCTATGATTTCTATCTAGTACAGGTTGCCATGTGGAGGAGGCAACCACCCTAGCCCCAATTCGAAACTCCAGAAGGGAAAAAAGGAATTCTCCTAATAAATATCCCATATCTCCACCAAGGTCTGCCCCAACCATTGACAGCCCTAATTATCATCATTCTCTTCCTACATAATGGTATCCATCTAATGGAAATAATGACTTCATCCATTTTTTGGTATAGTTGCATTACATATATTCTTAATTGCAGTTGCTATGAGTAATTCAAACTCTCAACTCTGAAGCATGCCTCCACAATACAAGTTGTGCTTTCCCCAGTATCTGCTCCTGTCAATAAAAACTATATCTTTGGAATGCAATAAGTGGTTACTAGTTAGCAAATTTGTCTATAGAATGCAAATATGTGTATTGATGTTTTAACAATGGATATGACACTGAAAATAGCATAATGGCAGAATAGGACTCATGTAGAAAACCCATATAGTTAGGAGAAGGCTTTGTTATATATTTATTGATATCTTTTTTGAAAAAAAATCTAAATTGCATGTTTTTCATAAATACAGAAAATTATGTGAATAAAATAAGGCTTCCGACCAATGTTGGTACCTACTATCTGAAGTCTTGGGAGGGATGGACTGGATATGGACCTAACCTTACACACTTATTTATTTTTTGCACCTAGTAGCCATTCTCAGACTAAAACTTGCATTCTTATGCTTGTCAGTCCAACATTTTGCCGTTACACCAACCAATGGCTCCCATGGAAAAATATGTGAATAATTTGGGAAAATGTATAACACATGAATAATTCATATTTTCAAAGACACTGGTCCAAAAATTAGGGAAATTTTAATTTTATATATACTTTAAAATATTAAAATATATTTATATTTCACATATGCATATATTTAATATATTATACACATAAAATATACCAAGTTTTTTACTTCAAACTTTTCATATGAGAACATATTAAACACATAGGATGAGCATGCATACCATAGTATTAAACACAGTATATATGATTATTTCCTGTATCATGTCTATGACATGCACATGTTTACTAACTATGAGCATGCATACCATAGTATCCCATTTGGTAGACAAAGGATAAATCATGTGATGATTTGTCCTCTTATTCTCACACTAGTTACCACTTAATTGTGTCTATGATGATGTTGATACACCCTCTTAAGCCTCTCATACAGCAAGCTAGGTTATCTTATGCTTCATATGAGTAAAAGACCTGTCAAGACTCAAGAATATTCTTCTTTTTATGTAAAATTATCTATTAATTGAATAAACAAGAAGATAGCCTAGTACCAAATATGGTTACCTTTTAGCCCTGCACCTGACACATATATACTCAGACCATGCATACAGAGGCACATAATAAAGGTGGAAAAAGAAAGGAAAGAAAGAAAATCTTTATCTGTTGCTTCTCAAGGAGGACTAATGATTCAAAGGAAAATTGGCATGTTATAGCTTTCAGTCAAGCAACTAACAGTAGCATAAGTTATTGCATTACCATTAAGAAACTAAGTTGGTCAAAATATCTTTTTCACCGCTGATTAGGAAGTAAAGGATTACTGAGTATAGTCAGTTAAGTCAAGTTCATGTCCTAGTGGAAATCATCATAATTTTCAAAGGGCTTCTACTTGCATACTTCTGATAATTAAAGCTGATTATTCTACTTCATAATTATTGATATGTGGATACCCAATCCATCAGTTAGTGCATATGGAAGTGTGTTGTTCAGAACCCCAACAGGAAGGACTCATCTCTTTTGATTGCTCTTTCCCTCTTTTTGTTTGGTTGAAGATCGTCTTGTTTTCTACATGTATAGGGAAGCAGCTCAAGTTAATTTCTAGGTATGTCTTCTATTGTCACAATGCATAGAATATGCCACCAATAGGAATTTTATTTCTCCTTAACTGGTTGGCATATTGGACTAGTTTTATCATTCTAATGTTACTTTAGGACCATCATATAAACCTACAATGTTACTATACAACTATTATGTAACCCTATGAATGTCAGGATAACATCAATATATTAACCACAAAGCGCCTGATTAGAAATAGGTAAGAAAAAAAAAAGTGGAAACAGGATGATGACAGCTCTATGGGGAAAACTATATCTATAGAAGATCTGCAAAGGTGATAATTACAAATGATAATAGGATCAACACAGATTGAATCATATGACAAAAACTTCTTATTCCAAATAGTGGAAATATGAAGTAGTATAAGCAGTTTAATGTAAAAAAAACTAAAGGGCATGTTAAATAATGAAACCTTGAGGCCCAGTAGTGTAGGAGATTTGTGATCAACATCCATTGAGGTTACATATGTCCAGGCCCATCAAACAAGTACTGAAGTAATAAGTACGGTTATATTTTGACAGTTAAAAGCCTACACAAAATTCTCTTGAATTCAAGGTCAGCTTGCAATGTTACATATTAAGCCCACTAACCAATAAGATCCCAGAGTATGCTATAGCAACAAATAACAAATTCAAATAAACTAATGTATAAAAGAAGTTTCCATTGTAAAGCAATTTTATGATGTTTGCACTGGCACTTATCGATAAATAGCACTATCCTATTTATTACAAGCAACTAAAGAAATCAACAATCACCGAGGTGCTAGAGCATACCTTACTGGCTCCAGCAATAACACTCTTAATGAGTGGCACAATTTTGCTGCTTCGTACAATACTATATCCCAAGAAGTATTTGGCTTGAGATAAGGCAATTACAATGGCTGAAGCAGTTGTAAAGCCAGAAATCACAGAGTGACTGATGAAACGAATCAGCCATCCAAGCCTATAGAGATGCATGAAGACATGATTCAACAAATTGATATCAAGAAAAGGTAAAGAAAGAGACTAAAAGCATACACATGTATGTGCCCAGTCATATTGCCTTAGCATCAATTGTTATCAAGGCACATTTTTATTGATTTCTTATAGTGCTGGTAAAAAATTAACAGTTATTCATAGTGAGATTCTTCCTACATTATCATTTCAACAAATGTCCATTTCAGCATCGTCTTTTTCCACCATTAATGGAAAATTTACTCAGAAAGACAAGATAAAAAAAACAGAAGATACAAAGAGAACAGCAGAAAAAGCATCTAGTGCAAGATTCTCACCAAAGAAACACAAAAAGAAAAAGAAGACAGGAAAAAATAAAAGAAAGAGCGAGCAGAAAAGATGGTTCAAATTACATAATCATCCCCAAGAGTCAACCGTTTGCGATGTCATCCCATGTTACCCGGATACGGCAAGGACATATCTGGCTATGGTATTGGATATGACATTTGTACTAAAAATTGAAATATCCAACACAATACCACACCCTTGTACAGGTATATGGGTATCATTGATGTCATCTACAGGAAAGAAACAAGCTAGCCAACCACAGTGTTACTTGGATAGAGAAAACAACCTTAGAGCTTTACTTGGCTAAAAAAAGCTAATGAAATCCACAGAGTCAGCCTCAGCCATCAATTTGTTAACGCCAAAAGAGGTAAATAATCTAAGGCCCAAAAGAAAAGAAAAAACCTTGTCTCTGTAAGAAACCTTGAAACCAGAAAACCCAGAGAAAGCAACATGATCTTGCCCAAACTGTTCCTAAACCATGTTTCAGACCATAATCGATTTCAGGATCCCATCTCCAAAACCTCATATCTATTTCTGGCACACTAAGCATGCCTGTTTAGCCCACAATCCCCACATAGTTCCAAAAAGTGCAACCTTTCCAAGTTGTCTGAACATCTACACATCATTTTATGATATCAAATGTAAATCTGAACTTTTATCTTGGATGGATATATATTGCAACACCTCAACAGTTAAAATAGAAGTACGACCAGAGTTTGGTTAGAAAAATTGGATCCCTTGGATCTCACATTCACATCTAATAGAACACCTCATGAGGCAGAAAGTGGAAGAAATAATTGGTAATACCTCAAGAGCCCCATAATGCATTCCAATATTCCAACCAAAAGTGCCAGCAATATTGCAAGTTCCGTGTACAACTCATCAGTAGAATCAACAATGCTACCCAACACATTAGATACCAGGAGAGAAACCAATGCGACTGGACCAATTGCAAGCTGACGAGATGACCCAAAGATGGCATACACAAATACGGGAACTAAACCAGAGTCTGTTTATCAAAAGGTGAATCAGTATTATCTAGAGATGGATATTTATTGCAAAATTCAGATATAATTATTAGAGCATACAAGAACCATTAGGCATCTAATAATGTTATCAGCTGGTTGACATCCAGGTAAATGACGATCAACTGCAAAGCAACTTCACTGTGGTAAAGGGCAAGCAAACTGTTAAACCACAGTGGAATCTGATCCTCATCCAATTGGTGACATAAGGGTGGTGGCACTATTAGCATTAAATAGTAACCAGAAAGTGGTAAAGAAGAAAAGCAAGTACCTCCCAACAGATTGTACCAATCATATTGCACAAAACACTGCAGAAGCGTAATCTAAATACATGGTAATGGTCTCTGATAAACTTACACAGTCCATATATTGGATGAAGTCCAGCTAACCTTGCATAAGACATTGACTGTTCAATCATGACAAAAGTCAAAAGATAACGGTTAGGCGGCAGAGGTGTTCAAGTGCAGTTGCAGAAAGAAACGACTTTGTAATTCAATTTCAATCTAATATCCAAGAGAAGAACATAATTCACCCTTGTACTAAGAGAAAGAATGATAATTAAACTAGTTCACACGGTCGAGAGGGTATATACAATTCTTAAATAACAACAAATTTGAATCAACCTGGAACAAGAATAAGGGAGCTATATAATTTTCAGGAACTCGAGCAGCTAATGGCATGAAACCAAGCAAGCTATGTATTCATGGGTGAATTGGCATAAATTTAACCAAATTAGGACACTAATCGGCCAAAAATGATGGAACAAGAAGAAGTCGGACAAATTCAGAGACAAGAAACCCCGACAACCGAGAGAGAGAGAGAGAGAGAGAGAGAGACCTGAGGAACGAGCATGACTCCAACGGTGATGCCAGCCATGAGATCGATCTGAAGGTACTCTCTCCATCTGTAAGTACGGATCCATCGGGAGCAGGGGAGGAGGAGGTCAAGCCAATCGATACAGGACAAACGCAGGAACTTGGAGCGCCATTTGGAGAGCAGAGGAGGAATAGAAGCGGAAGGGGCCGTTGAGAATGATGACGAAGATGTGGGGTGTTGAAGAGGGATGACCTTCACCGGTCGATTCGGCATCGCGACTACAGAATAATTATCAGTAGCAGCGGCAGTAAGGTCACTCGAACTCGAGGTGGCATAAGTTATCTCCATGAGCTCCCTCGAGCAACAAGCGAAGCATCATAGCGTCCAGCCGTCCACCCAATCACCAATGGCGATTGTACTGCTCTGCTGCAGCAGCCACTGCGAATGGTCCTCCAGCAAACAAATACCAGAATATTTAGAAAGAAAAATAAAATAAAAAATCAGTGAGAAAGAGCAAGATGACGACTACTCGGGAAAAGGAGGACGAAGAAGATGACGACGAAAACGTCTGTAAACCCAAAATGGCCAAAAAACTAACGTATCGGTTAATGATCAAGTAAGCAGTTCGTTCGAACTTCACGAAATAACTGATGCCGGAAGGATTTGACCAATCAAAATCCCACGTTAATTAATTTTGATGAAAACCCGCCTGATTGATTACCAGCTTACCACTTTGCCGGTTGATTGGTTATACATTTTTCGGTATCATATGTCTTTCCGGCATGATAGGCAAATGCTAGAGAAAAAGAAAAAGAGATGTGATGATTGGTGATTTCACAAAACGGGGTCCAACGAGGCAATTTCTAAAATATAATTTATTTGGTGTAGCGAAGTTGTTATCAGTGGATGGATGTATGGGGACGGGATCCGAGATAATATTCAATAAATTAAAATAACTGTATTCTTATACAGGATGAATGATGCGCCACATCATCATCAGGAAATAAAAATTCTAACTCCGTTGCATGGCAACAAATCTAGTAGTCTCCTTATCCTGTCCGTGATTTTAACATCAATCCACGGTTTGAATTCATCCACCTGTACAAGCACGGGACCTACTTATGATCGTCTTTGGATCCTGCCCGCAAAAAACTCCACAGTACCACACTTTTAGTCTAAACAGTCGCACATGGGACCTACCAGTACCAGCGTACAAGTCCAAAATTGTCCTTCATTAGACTTTTTTACGCAAGTGTTAAGTCCGAATCTCCTGTCTCCACAACTATGCTCACCTATGCAGGGGGAGGTGTTTCACGGAGTTCGGATCTCCTTCTCACGAGAACCCTGCCCACGTCTATCCACAACACACTATCCCCGTGAATTGGGAACATCTCCCCTTGCATAATACTATGCAAAGGATGAGATGTTTTTCATATGTGGCTGCGATAAACGTGGGCACAAGATCCGGACTCCAAATCAGGGGGTAGTGTGTCGTGGGTAGACGTAATAGCAGGAAGTTGCATTTTATTTAAGGACTCCAAATCTCCTGTCCACACAAACTCTGCCCACATTTATCACAGTCACACATGGAGAACATCTCAACCTCTGCATAGTATTATGCAGGGGGAGATGTTCCCAATTGACGGTGGGTATTGTGTTGTGGGTAGGAGATCCAGAGTCATTAAATAAAACACAGCTTCCTACTATTTCGTCTTCATCTTAATCTATATGTTAAAATAATGAAATATAGAAATTTTTTCTTTTTCTTTTTTTTTTGAATTTTGAATTTTTTTAATCCAAGTCATTTTCAAAACAATCAATTAGAAATTATATTTTTCCCAAAAACATCTTCCTAAGATCTCTCTCTCTCTCTCCCACACGTTACAATAACTTAAATAATTTAACATCCTAAAATTTATCCTAAACAACCTCTCCCACTATCCCCAACTTTCTCCTAAGTTATCTCTAATTTAGTACAGAGTCTCTCCTAAAATATCTCTAATTCTTATTTATCTTCTCCCCCACATTTTATCTACATCTATCTAAAGAAAGTTTGAATTAAAAATTTTAAGAATTATTTAAATATTCTAACAAAATTATTTAATAACTTTAAAATATTTATTAAAAAGATAAAAAAAAGTAACTATAATTGATATAATAATATTCATAGTATTAATAATTATATATTTTTACAAAATTCATCATGAAATTATGTACAAACAATATAAATTATGATTTTCTGGATTATTCAATCTCAATGTTATTCAAATAATAAAAATATAACATTAAAAATGAAATATTATTTAAATATTTTAATAACCAAATATCTTAAATAATAAAATATTAAAATTAATATTTTAAATCAATTAATAATATATTTTAAATAGTTACTAAATAACATTCAATTATAATAAATAGATTAAGATTTTAAATATTTAGTTAAATAACTAAATATTTTAAATAATGAAATATTTAACATAACTAGATTTTAAATAGTTAAAATAACAAAATTATGTATTATTAGTATTATAATTTTATGGACTATTAAATTCAACAAGTAATTAATATTTTAAAATTTAAATAATGATATTATTTCAATAAATAAATAATATTAAAAATAAATAATTTCATTTAGACCAATTAATAATTCTAGAAAACAACTTTCAAAAAAAATTATTGTTTATTAATAATAATTTTTAAAATTTAATCTTTATTTATTATATATTTATCTATACTAAAATTAATATTCATCGTATTTCAGTAACTATTTATTTATTTTTGTGATAAATATATTTTCAATAATTATGTATAGATCTATTTTTGTTTTGTTATTTAATAGAAAATTTTCAATAACTATTGGAGTTTAAATTGCTGTTATTTAGCTTTTTAAATTTAGTTTTTTGTGTATTTCGCTATAAATTTTAAATAATTATTGGAGATTAAACTATTGTTCACGAGTTGGTTCATTTTAGTTGTAGGTTGTTTAGCCAACCAAATCTACCTAGTCAGGTTGGGGGTTGGTCACTCAGGTTATATCGGTTTGAGTCAATTTTCGGTTTGATCGGTCGGTTCAAAAGATTTAAACTTAAAAAATTAAATTTATGATATAAACTATTTTAACCTAAGAAATATTGGAATTTTCCACTTTCTTGTATATATATATATATATATAGTCGAGTCGTTCGATTTTAATCAGTTTACAAATGGCCAAAGCGAAAATGATCCAACCCATTTGGGTTAGGAAATCATTGAACCAAAGTTGACTAAAAATACTAGAAATCGGGTTGGTCAATTTCATTAGTTTGATTCAGAATGGCAACGAGGTATGGCGGGGACGGGGAGCCTCTCCCCATCCTCATCCCCATCCCGTTAACGGGGACAAAGTTATCCCCATCCCTGTCTCCATGGGAATCCCCACTTCTTGTGATTCTTTATAATGTCAACCATTATGTTTTTGTTTTTATTTTATTTAAAAATAAAATAAAATAATTAAAATTTACAATCCTAGTAGAAAAGATTCAAACATGTTAAACCATATTTTTAAAAATATTAACATATAGACTCTCTCCCACATGTTACAATAATTTAAATAATTTAACATCCTAAAATTTATCCTAAACAACTTCTCCCACTATCCCCAACTTTCTCCTAAGTTATCTCTAATTTAGTAGAGAGTCTCTCCTAAAATATCTCTAATCCTTATTTATCTTCTCCCCCACATTTTATCTACATCTATCTAAAGAAAGTTTGAATTAAAAATTTTAAGAATTATTTAAATATTCTAACAAAATTATATAGTAACTTTAAAATATTTATTAAAAAGATAAAAAATAACTATAATTGATTTAATAATATTCATATTATTAATAATTATATATTTTTACAAAATTCATCATGAAATTATGTACAAACAATATAAATTATGATTTTATGGATTATTCAATCTAAATGTTATTCAAATAATAAATGTATAACGTTAGAAATGAAATATTATTTAAATCTTTTAATATCTAAATATCTTAATAACAAAACATTAAATTAATATTTTAAATCAATTAATAACATATTTTAAATAATTACTAAATAACTTTCAATTGTAATAAATAGATTAAGATTTTAAGTATTTAGTTAAATAACTAAATGTTTTAAATAATGAAATATTTAACATAACTAAATTTTAAATAGTTAAAATAACAAAATTATGTATTATTAGTACTATAATTTTATGGACTATTAAATTCAACAAGTAATTAATATTTTAAAATTTAAATAATGATATTATTTCAGTAAATAAATAATATTGCAAATAAATAATTTCATTTACACCAATTAATAATTATAGAAAACAACTTTCAGAAAAAAATATTGTTTATTAATAATAATTTTAAAAGTTTAATCTTTATTTATTATATATTTATATATACTAAAATTAATATTCATTGTATTTCAGTAATTATTTATTTATTTTGTGATAAATATATTTTCAATAATTATGTATAGATCTATTTTTGTTTTGTTATTTAGTAGAAAACTTTCAATAATTATTGGAGTTTAAACTACTGTTATTTAGCTTTTTAACAGTAGTTTAATCTCCAATAATTTAGTTTTTTGTGTATTTCGCTATAAATTTTAAATAATTATTGGAGATTAAACTATTGTTCATATGTTGGTTCATTTTAGTTGTAGGTTGTTTGGCCAACCAAATCTACCTAGTCAGGTTGGGGGTTGGTCACTCAGGTTATATCGGTTTGGGTCAATTTTCGGTTTGATCAGTCGATTCAAAAGATTTAAACTTATAGAAATCGGGTTAGTTAGTTTCATTAGTTTGATTTAGAATGGCAATAAGGTAGGGCAGGGACGAGGAGCCTCTCCCCATCCCCAACCCCATCCCGTTAATGGGGACAAAGTTATCCCCATCCCTGTCTCCATGGGAATCCCCACTCCCTGTGATTCTTTATAATGTCAACCATTAGGTTTTTGTTTTCATTTTATTTAAAAATCAAAATAAAATAATTAAAATTTACAATCTTATTAGAAAATATTCAAACATATTCAACTATATTTTTAAAAATATTAACATATAGACGTACGTGTACATATATATATATATATTAACGGGGATCCCATGGGACAGGGATCAGGGTCCATGTGAGGCAATGAGTGCTCTTCTTGTCCCTGCCAACCGGGATAAAAATTTCTCCATCTCTATCCCCGCGGGGGGAAAATCATTCCCATCCCTGCCCCATTCAAGACAACTCCCCACAGGGGTCAGGGAAATGGAGAAAATTGCCATCCCTAAACCTTATTTTAAATAAAAAAAAAAGATTTACACACCTTGCTACATAGTATAAATAAGCCTTTTTTTGAAGAAAGCCTATATTAAAGTTAATACTTAAAAAAATTAATAATAATATTAGGTGGTCTAGCCGTCTAGATGAGCCGCAAGATCCCTTCACATCCGAGAAACAGGTGGGTTCATGTAGAGAAGGTCCCTACTGTATTCAATTTTGGAACCGTTTAATATAGCAGGTTCCAAGAGCTCTCCGGATTAGTTCAGGTAAAAAAAAAAATTGTTAAGACAATATCCCTTTCTTTTGGCTACTGTAATGTCAAAAAGATTGAAACTTTGAAGTTTGAACAACTTATGTTTGTCTGGATGATTGCTTCGAGCAGGGTTTAGCTTGTGAGGCCCATGAATTTATTATTGGCGTGTAAACTCATCATGATTCTACAGCCCGCTGAACAGTTAAACATTCAGCTAATCCAAATTCGTTTACTTCAGTGGTTGAATCTGAACAATAAAATCCAACACCACATTATAACCTGTTGCTTCAAACAAATGATCGGGAGTACTCTAAATATTTAAGCCTTGCAACATTTTAGAGAAAAGATTTCAGTTCAAAAAGGCATAAAAAAGATGACATTTTCTTCAAAAGTGACTCGGAGAAGCCGAGAGACTCGGTGTTATTTGAAACAGTTAGAAAATGTTCAATCTAACAAAAAATGTTAAGGGACAATATAAAATGCATACATGGCGTTATCCTGGCGGAAATGCATTGCAGTGGAAATCAGAAATCTACATTGAGCCTGTCCGTACTTTTCCTTTACAAATTTTGATAAGTTTCCCTACCTTTTTCTTCAAACCAAACATAACCTAAAGGTCGCAGGTAATGTGAACTCTATTTGTACAGATTCGCCACTCTATATTAATGTGGCATTCCCAAAAATGTGCCAACTGACCACGTGCACGGTCGTAGGCAGATAATCGAAGCAATGAACTCGATGTGCTTGGATTCTGGATTTGGTGGTCATGAAGCTAACAATGTGGCGGCACCCACACTTGGATTGTCAATTTTAACCTATAGACGACAAAAAAGAAAAATAACGAACCAATACAACTCAAGAGTAGAAACAGAACTGCAAGCCGGAAAAGGAAAGGTAAATTTGTCACTTCGAAAATTACAGGATTTGGCTCCAAAAATATATATATAGCGTGTTGCAGAATCTACAAAGCAATTAACCTCTTACTACTACGGTAAGAGTGACCGGACACAACCAGAATCTGGTCCGAGTTTTACAACACTGCCTCTTACTGCACCTTACATTGTTACAGTGGAAGGATGAACCCATGAGGACTGCCTGAACCCTTGGGTTTTCACTTTCTACTTCCAGCCTTCAAACCGAAACACTGTATTATGTATAATCTATTTATTTATTTTGGGTAAGAATTCATCCTTTTTAATTTTAACAATAAAAAGTGAGCACACAAATTTAACTGATCCATAACATGGAATATCATCATCCTTGTTATCAGCAACATCCAAAAAAGCCCTTGCCCCAGGCTCAAACCAGTTGTTCTTTTGAGATTACGAAAAAAAAAAAAAAGTGGAGTAAAAAGGGCACTTTCCAACCACATGCAAATAATAGTGGTATAGCTATTTAAACACGCTATTTGCTGCTTCCCCTGGCTATGTATAGCTATTTAAACACGCTTATAGACAAAAGAAAAGCAAACCTGCAACATATAAGCAGCAAGCACGCGTACCATGTAATTAAGACTGTGATTGCGCATGTTCAGGCTTGTGTGTGAACTCATAATCAAGATGAACAAAGGCACGCTCAATCTCAGGAAGGAGCTCAAGCTTCTCCTGCAAGGACTCCCCGATATCATGTGCCTCCCGCAAAGGCATATCCGATGGCAAGACAATATCAACCTCAACAAAGTAATGTGAGCCAAAGGTGTAAGCCCGTACGGTGTCTATGTGCCTTACAGCCTTGTGATGGTTCCAACAAAGATACGTCAACTTCTGTAGAAAGTCTGGTGCTGCCGACCTTCCTACTAGGGAGTTCACATTTTCCAGCACTGTCATGGACCATGTGCGGATGGTATACAGAGCCAGCTGCAGTACATTGAAATTCATATTCATAAAGTTACAATAGAAAAAGATGAAACAGTCAAAGACATCTCTCTCTCTGTCTCTGCTCTAATATATGGCATTATGTATAAGGATCTAGATCACAGCAAACGGGACCCACCTATCTTGTGAGACAACTCTAATAACGATGTGATGATCAGATAAGGGCGTTTTCATGGGAATAGCTGTTGATAGTGTGAGTCCCCATGTGTTCACCCCCTCATTGACTAGAGTATTTAAAAATTCAACAATTTTTACTGTCTAGATTCTTGAACCAAAAAATGATTAACGCATTGGGGGTCATACACTTGCTCTCATCTGATCAACATTCTAATATAAATGCCAACATCTGGTTGCAGAAAGGAAGAGTAATAATGATGGTCCCAGAAAAGGTTATCTTGTAAATAGCTACTATAATCCAATATAGTCAATTTCTTGTACAAGGAGATATGAATGCCACCAGCTATCAGTGAATGTATGCGCTGTAGGTCTGTGTTGATCATGCACTCTCATGTTGTGTAATACCGTATGTATGATGGTATGGTGATTGATCTCAATGCTAATAGTTGTAAGGAAATCCAATCATGAGTTATCCACTTATCCCATCCTAATACAATAAGAACACATGCAAAAAGAGAAAAAGTTGTATCACTTACAATAATAGCTCCAATAGGATCCATCCAGTCATCAATATAATTGGCCAGAAGAGCAGCAATAAGTCCAATGACATTTGTGATGACATCAAAAAAGTGATCCTGAGCATAAGCTTTGACAATCTCATTGGTGAAAGAACGACAGTAGAAAACCAGGAAGAGCTTCACCAACGTTACAGAGAGCATAATACCAACCACCCATTGTTCCTGCTCCTTGGTCAAGTTGAACTCACTCTCCTGAAGTAAGGTTGAGAAGAATATATGTTTTATAAATTAACCATACTATCATGATGGCTCTCAGGCCTCAGTAATCAAATCATAATTCCTCAAAAAAAAAAAATATTGGTTTGCTTGGGCTTGAGAAAGAACACTGCCACTTACATCAGATAAAAGTGTGCGCAATGACTCCAATATTATCTGCAGACCAAGTGTAGCCATAACAGAGGCAAAAACAAGAATTCCCTGCACGTTATATTGTGGAGCAGGAACTAAGTATCCAACTCAAGCAGTTTTATTACTAAAAATAGAAATAACAGAGTTAAAACTTTGTAATGTTTCATATTCCCATTAAAATTGCCAATCCAAGCATCAAGCATGTCCAGGTATCAGATTCAACAACTTGGTAAAATGACTTGGGACATCATTCTGTATCCCTAGCAAGGCCTATAGTTAGCACTCAGACAATATGGTGTTCCAGGTGGGAGCAGGAAATGAAGTAGGGATGCTTGTGATAACATTGAACTAAAGAAGATAAATTATAAAAGAAAAAAAAAGAAAAGGAAGTCAGAACACAAATAGAATGGACTCAAAATGTGTGTGTGTGTGTGTGAGAGAGAGAGAGAGAGAAAGAGGAGTAAAGGGATAAGAAATATAGGTGCGAAACAGTGAAAAATGCAGTAATTCAAAACATAGTAGTAACCATATTCACAAGGCCCAACAGAAAATTGACTGAAATATTTTTCCTGAAATAGCCAATTAGAAAGAAACAGTATTAACCAAAACATCATACTCCTGCATCAGCTGCACCTAGACAATACAATTTTGGAGGCTTGAAGAGAAACAAAATGTATGTTGGAGGTAGAATGGAAAAAGACCATATAACAAATTTCTATGAAAATCCATGATTTCTCAAGCAATGGGAGTTTTTTTCGTTATCATATGATCACTTCCTATTCCTATTCCCGATAAACCATGCACAAAATATGGGAGTTTTTTTTGTTTTTGTAGACATGTATTCTTTGAGTAATTATCCCCATCACCTAAGATGAATGTGTCCAAATCACTCCACCCTTTTTGTAATCATAGTAAACCACAAACACCAAAAAGGCCAAGAATTAGAAAGCATAATCTACACCTTCCGATGACAAAGCAAAAAAAAGAAAAGGTTAAACCCTAAAAAACATCATCCTTAATCCTTCTTAATGTAAGATAAATAAATAAATATTTGAAGCAATGAGCATTTTATGTGCAAGCACAACAACTGTAATAAAAAGTCAATGCACATCCACATGAACGTATTGGCCTTGTACTACCATAACAAATGATAGCAGAAGGGACTGACCAATGGCTGCATCCGCTTCTTTCCAATGGGGTATTGATATGGGTTTGGTGTCTGCATAGAGAATGCTGTAAACCACAGAATAAAACCTGATAAAAGGTCAAGGAGTGAATCTAGTGTGGATGCTATAATCGCCAATGAACCACTCCTAATGGATGCGAAAACTTTAGCACCAAAAAGAATCATGTTTGCAATATTTGAAAGTCTGATGGCAAGTGTCTCACTTCTAGCCATCCTGTCCCGTTCTTCCTGAAACCAGTACAAGGATTATTTCAGTTCAAGACATTTCCATCTAGATAAAGCTTAGAAATGCTCTGATCCTGATTTTAGAGAATAGAGTAACCAATTGCAGATACACCTTTGACATTCCAGGGAGAAAACCACGCTCTGCTAAGGCATCCATTTCATTGAATCCCTCTAACATCTCTATCTGTTGTTGGTAATACTCAGCCACAACATCTTCTGGACCTGGAACCATCAAGCAAATCAATTGAGTTCATATTTATGCAATATCTTACCACGCCATATCACCAATTATTAGGACAGTAATATTATAGATTGATTGCATCTATTTTAATCCAGTTCTAGAGCTGTCCAAATTCTTTCAAAAATATATGCTAGAATTTACATAAATAAATATAAGAACAAGCGAAAATACAGGGGGCTCTTATTTCATTGATTTGCTTCCGCAAGCACTCAAGGATTCGACCTCTAAAGAGGTTAGCAAAGTTCTGATCTCAAAGTGAGCAATCAGTTAGGGAAAACCACTTGAAAACTAACAAAGAAGTTTAAGAGGATAAAAGCAGTTTTATGCAGACTACAAGGTACAAGTGAAATTTAGAGGATAAATCCATCATTCCGTGGTTGAACTTACAACTCAACCTTTTGGATAGACTTGGAAATCAGCAGAAGGCTACTTAAAGGCTCCAAGAGAAGATATTTCGGAATCAAGAACATCCTCAATCTAAACAAGTGGATTTTTGCAGGAGATTCAGGAATCAGGACCATCAAAGCAGTCCTTGGAGGAAATGTTTTTCCTATCTCTGCACACACTATTTTTCCACCTAACCAAATAAAAGCACAGCTCAAATGAATCTTAGAAGAAGATAATTGTTGCAAGACGCTACTGACAGATTAAACTAATTCAACACCTAACTTACATGTTGTTTTTATGTTGACTCTTACGACAACAAACTTAACTCGTACAAAGCCTCTTCTTTCTTCTAGGAGATAAGTATCAAGAATAAAGAATTGAGTCGGAACCACGACTAAAATAAGACCGGCATGAATTAGTGAAGGGAAAAGAAAGAGAGAGCAGAAAAAGGCCAAGCGCATCAAAACATGCCAAATGAAGGAAATCGGTGACAAAAGGCAAGAGTCAACTGATAATATTTCCATTTAAAAATCAGAGGGAAATGGACGAATAATTAGAAGACGTCTATAGACAATACATGAATATAAATTAAAAAGAAATGACCTCGAACACCAAGGCAGTCTTGAAGGCCACGCGGCGGCTTTTCTTTGTGGTCGGAGAGCTGAAAGCCATCGAAGTTTAAACGCCAGGACTTCTCTTCGCTTCCAGATTCCGGCAAGAGCCGCTCCTCCGATCCATCGGGATCACCAGAGTGAGTCGTCGGGCTCATTATTTTCGGTTGAGAGGAACTGACCAAACCCTAGAAAGCTGGAAGGAATATGAGATATCTTGTACGAGAGAACGAGCGAGCGAATGTATAGGTTGTAGGATTCCAAGTTTATATCAGAATCGAGTCAAAAAAAAAAAAAAAAACAAAAAAACAAGGAAAACTTCAAGTGCTTACTCAAAGTGCTCATTGTGTGTGCCTACCTGACTCGATTCTGTTCTTTTTGTAGGAATGTCAAACGTTTTGAGAAACTGATCAGCTCAATAGGGTGATGTCCCATTCGCGGGAGAAGGTACGTGTATGGTGGTGATTTGGGAAACACGTAACAGATTCCGGATCTGCTGAAAATTATTGTGTTTGCGTATACACCAAATCATGAGTTCGGAATCCGGATCACAAGTAAAACGACTAAACGAGCCGATCCGTAGTTCCGTACAACGGATTTGGTGTTGTAGTAGCAAGTGTTGCACACAATTGTGTCCAGCCAACTGCCCACCCATAACTTTTTCTATTTAACATATCTGCTAGGAGCCTAAGAAGATGAGGAATATGTATGTATTTGTGTACATTAACTTTCTTCTAAAATTTTCGAATTTGCACTAGCAGATCCTCTCTCTTTTATATGGAAGTGTGAATGCCTGATGGAATATGGACCCAATCCGGTTCGTCACTTTTCACCTTTCCGAAAGAAAGCATCTTCTACACTTGAATCCTTCCCAATTTACAAATGAACAACTCAACGCAACGTGACAAAGAAATACTTGTAGATCTGCCCCTGCTCTAGAAAGAAAATGAATCTGTGTGACCGCATCATGCATTATGATAAAATACACAAATGATTCGTTACTTTAAATATGACGCACCGATTTATCTTTTGAGAGAGGTAGGATTCTCATTCAATTCCCTATGTCGACTAAGGACAGTGTTGGAAGCTTTTATATATATTACCAAAATGCAATAATAATCAGCTTTATTAAGATCCTTCAAAGCAGGACAAATCCTATAAATTAACTCTGAAATACAAGGGGGAGTGACACCATTCCAAAAGAAATAACCAGAAATACCTAATTTGGCAAGAGAATGAGCCACCCGGTTAAAGGATTTATTGATGTGGGTAATTGAGACAGATTCAAAGGAGGAAGAGAGAAACCTCCTGCAGTCTGCAACATACGTATGAATTGACCAAAGCAGGGAGGAAGACTCCTCTAATAGGGATTGGATAACTTCCAAGGTATCTCCCTCAAGGATGATATGACGAAAATTTAGAGAAAGGGCCAACTTAAGGCCAATCAACAAGGCTTGAGCTTCTGCCAGCATAGCAAGGAGCAATACAAGCTAAGCTCTCAAGATGATGACCCATGGAATCTCTACACACCACACCGATACCAAAAGCCAAATCTAAGACAGCAGCATCCACATTAACTTCAATGCATCCAACAGGAGGTGGGGAGGTGGGATCCATGGCATAGCTGACCGAGAGGACTGGATCAATGGTTTCGAAATTCTCATGACATCATGATGTGCTTCTTTGTACTGATTAAGTAGAGACATTGCATTCGAAATTATGGCTAGTGGATGGTTAGATTTTTTATAAAAAACTAACTTGTTATGAGCACACCACAACTGCCACATTAAGGCCGCTACAATGATGAACGGAACCTCATCGTCTTGAGCATTAGATGCCATAATCCATTGACAGAGCCAATTAAACAAGGACCCACTGACTTATTCAGATCTTATACATAAGATAGAACCCCATCATACAGCTTTGACAATAGGACAATGCAGAAAAAAGGTGTTCCAAAGATTCCCAACCATCTAAACAATAAGGGCAAGAAGGATCAATATGGGTGCTTCTTCTTGCAAGGATGGCACGGACAGGGAAGGCATTTGAAAGACATCTCCAAATAAATGTGAGGATTCTTGGAGGGAGAAATTTGAATGCGCATAATTTCTTCCACATTACCGCATGCGCATTGAGAGAAGAGCTTGAAGCCGAGCAATTCGAGATTTCCTTATAAGCTGATTTGGTGGTAAATCTTCCCTTAGGTGTTAAAATCCAGCAAAGAGAATCTTGAACTAGAGGGGCATAGCTTTGTAGAGGTATTTTGATAATCTGATCTACCACTGGGTTACCAAAATGGTTAAGCAATTTATTGGTATCCCAAGTTCGGTTGTTGCTACTAATGAAAAAGTTGACTTTGGTTGTAGGAGGTCGGTCTCGAGCAACAATTGGTTTGTAGCTAGATATACTGGGGATCCAAGGATTGAATTGCACATTTACCAATGAGCCATCTCCAATCAACCAACAAGCCCCTCTAGCCAGGATGTGTCTACAACTTAGAATTGCATGCTAAACCTTAGAAGCACCTGCGCTTAATTTAATCTGCCAAAAATTCTATTGCTAGACATATTTATTATGGAGCACACGAGCCTAGAGTATATTAGGTTCAGATAAGAATTGTCTGCCCAACTTAGTGACTAAAGCTTGGTTAATCATGGACAAATTTCGAATACCCAACCCACCAAACTCCTTGGGGAGCATGCAATTGGACCAAGCTTTAAGATATTTATATATATATATATATATGTGTGTGTGTGTGTGAACATTCATCCTTAAAACCCCACAAAAAATCACGCATAAGAGCATGAAGTTGGTCACAAAAATTCTTGGGAAGCAATGTTTTAGACAAGTAATAAATTGGTAGACTTGCCAATGAGGATTTGATTAGAGTGAGTCGTCCCGCATGAGATATAAGGGGAAAGAGGGTCTCTGTCACCATTTATCATAAAAGCAACTGTTGAAGAAGAGACGCACATATTGATGAGAGCACAAAACTAGCTTGAGAAACCCAATAGAGATAGGATCTGAATCAGAAAAGACCAATTGACTTTGTCGTACGCCTTGGCCATGTCGAGCTTGAGCATAAATGAACCCACCTTGCTCTTCTTCCTCTTCATTGTGTGAATAATCTCTTGCATTATAATGAAATTATCAGAGATGTACCTGCCAGGCAAAAATGCATTCTGAAAAGGATAGATGATCCTTTGCAAAATTGGTCTTAAACGCTTTGCTACAATTTTAGCAACCACCTTGTAATGGATGTTACACAGCCTAATGGACCTAAAGTCAACCGAAGATTCTGTTGCCTCCTTGGGATCAATGTTAACAAAGTGTTATTAACATTAGAAGGGAAAGCTTTTTCACAAAAAAAAAATGTTAGATGCTATTACAAAATTCAAGTCCCAACACCTCCCAGATAGACTGAAACAATAGGGTGTTGAGTCCATCTGGTCCTGCAGCTTTCAGAGGGCCCAAGCTAAATAAGGTATCATGGATCTCTTGATGGGAAGGAATAACACACAATAAACTATTTTCTTCAGAAGAAATAAGGGGGGGGGGGGGGGGGGGGAACAAGTTCGTACCATCAAAATCTTCTAAAGGTTCAGACTTCAGATGTAAATAGATTCTTGAAAAGGCAAGGAAAGAACTTCTAATAGTATCTTGATTAACACACCAAGATCCATCAACATTCTTAATTGCACTAATTCGATGCAATTCTTCTTTCTAGTGGTAGAAATGTGAAAATATTGAGAATTCCTGTCACCTTGTTTAAGCCAATCAGAATGCGCCCGCTGAGCCCAGTAGATTTCATCCAACTTAGCAAAGTGAGAATATTCTGTTGTCAATTGTCTCTCTTTAACAATAGGTTCAGAGATTGGTGTGTCCGGTTGAACCTTGAGCAACTCCGATTCGATCTCTTGCATTCTTTTTCTGGAGTTACCGATCGTTGCTTGACTCCACCTTTTTAGCTTTTTAATAGTCTCACTGCATTTGTTAGCGAAGGAAAGGTCTTGAGAGAGGTCATCATCCAACTTAGCAAAGTGAGAATATTCTGCTGTCAATTGTCTCTCTTTAACAATAGATTCAGAGGTTGGTGTGTCTGATTGAACCTTGAGCAACTCCGATTCGATCTCTTGCATTCTTTTTCTGGAGTTATCGATCACTGCTTGACTCCGCCTTTTTAGCTTTTTAATAGTCTCGCTGCATTTGTTAGCGAAGGAAAGGTCTTGAGAGAGGTTATCCCAACAGCGTTTGAATTCATCTAGATAACCATTGCATTTTGTCCAGAAAGCTTCGAATCTATCAACTTTTATAGCTTTCCTTCAGGACTGAGTAAAGTTGACCAAAATAGGAATGTGGTCACTGCCAATGCGAGGGAGGTGATTAACATGTGCCCAAGGATACAACATCAACCAATCTGGGGAATCCATAGCCCGATCATGTCTTTCCATTAAAAGTTCATGAAAATCCCGCTTGTTGGACCAGGTGTACGTTGGACCCGAGAATCCTAGATCCATCAGGCCTGTGACATTAATCATTTGTTTGAAATCCTCAGTATCTGAAGGGGTAATTGGCCTACCTCCAAATTTCTTAGTTGCCGAGAATAAGGCATTGAAATTGCCAAACACCACCCATGGTTTCGTGAAATTGGAAGCAAGATTACAAAGTCTATCCCACACTGCCTTCCGATTCTCTCTGTAAGGACTCCCATATGCCATATATGCAAACAAGAATCCAAGAGTAATTAGAAGCTGAGCAATTGATATCAACCATTATAAAAGTTATCATCCACATAACTAACAACAATATTTAAATCCAAAGACCACCCCTAGATCCCACGAAGGGATGAACAACATAATTAAAAAGTGAAAATCTCTTAAGCAACTTTGAAGACTTGGAAGAAGTACATTTTGTTTCAGAAAGGAAAACAATAGATGCCTTTGTACTCCTAAGGAGGAGTGCTGAAAGATGTTGAATTGTCAAGTCCCTCCCCAAGCCCGACAATTCCAAGCAATGAGTCTAATTGATTAATGTGGGGTGGTGAGGGCCCGCCACCCCAACCCATGTGGAAAACGGGATAGAACTATCATATGGATTAACAAGTGCCTCTCCAAGCTGTTTCAATATATATATATAAAAGACAGTCAATATATTTTTTCTTTTTTTTTGAATTTTTTGTTTTTTTATTTTATGCCATTTTTTTAAACAACCAATGAGATGTACTTTTCCAAGAACATAAATAATCTCTTCTCCTAAAGTTTATCCTAAA